GACTTGTAATTCTTCGGACGATACCTTTCCCCACGCCCTGGTGAAATCCTCGATGGCCTGGGAGTGCGTAATCTTGTAGAAGTGGGGCGGCGTTTGGCGGCAATCTTTCCGCCGCCCCACGCTTTAGGCCGCCCTCAGAGATCATCCTTAAAAGTGTAAACAAGCGAGGCGACCCCAATGATGAAACAAAGCGTTTACTCATGACTTTTTTCTGGGTTTGTGGGCGAGAATGAAGAAGTAAACCGTGGAGGTGCACTTCCTGTGAAACTGTTTACCGAGGCCTTCCCGCTCGGGTGTATAATCCACGGCGAGCGGGCTGCCCTCATGCGCAGGGCGGCAAAAGGCGGTCCCTCAAAACGGTGAGCATTCCAAGCAAGCTTACTGAGAGAGAGCTCGACTAAATCCCTCCGCAAAGAGAGGCACACTTCAGGACACTGCTCATCTGTCGGGAACATCCACGCATGAGAGAGGAGGAGGGAGGAGCCGCATCTCTCTTCACGCCATCAGACTAGCCCAGTGGCGAGTGATGGGCCGCCTGCAGATGCGGGTACGGCATCGGGAAAATCGGGCCCGCGCAAATCGACTGTTCTTCCAAAATTGATGGAGACGCACTGCCTGATCATCCGCGCTGGCGCTAACTAGGCACTTCGTTTTCAGCCCCCCCACTGTCAAGTTGAGAGAAATATTTATGAAGCTGGCTTACCGTGGCCTGCTATCGCGCCTCTCTCCATCTGCTCAGCTCTCAGTCCGCTTTGGTCGGGCTTTTTTCTGAAAGAGTGAAGAAAGGAATAGCGAAAGGAAGAAAGACGTGAAGAGATAAAAAAGAGAGGAACAGGTTTTCTCTGAGCTTTCCGGGCAAGATAAATGGCAAGGGTGTGTTAAAGTTGGTTTTCACAAACACGGCAACTATCAGATAGTTTTAAACGGATTACAGCAACTTTATTTCTCATTAGCGTTACCATTTGCAAGAAAAATAGCGGTTAATGGGCGCCCTGATGGGTTTGTAATGCAAGCAAACATCTCCGTAGTCCCCGAGAGCTGCACCGGCCCGCCAGTTGGCTATCCCCGGCTTCGCACGCCTAAATCCCTGGCCAAACAAGCCAGCAGGCCGGCCTCTCAGCACGAGCATACTGCCCGGTAAGACTTTAAACCGTCCTCGGTAATTCACGGGGCTCACCAGCGCTCGTTAGGGGTTTTTCTAACAATCACTGTTTGTACATTTCCACAATGCAATACCTTGTTCAGAGGCTCTTGAACACAGCCCCGACAGTCACTCCACAAATGAAGCCGGCTTTCCACAAACCCAGAAGTAAACTATTTTACCTTTCTACCCAGATAAAAACAATCTCCTGCTCGGTTTAGTACCCTTATTCATCTAGATTGGCAAAGACCGCAAGTGGCTTGCCTCTCTATCTCCCCCGAATATACGCGGGGATATACTAAATAAAATAAATAATATCTCTGCCTTAGTCGGACTTACTGGCGACTTTGCGGCAAAGCCCGATGATTTTGCCCGTTCGCTATCACACTTAGAAACGAAAATAGCCAATCCGTTTCGTTTAGGATGAAGGACTTGATAGATTTCGTTTGTGGTGATGGAGAATCTAATGAGACCGGAGCCGGCTTGCCGTGCCCCAGCACTTGACACACGGGGTAATTCGGAGGGCCTGTCTAAACCGCGAAACTCCGTCCGGCCCAGACAAAACTTATTAAACTCAAATTGGATAAAATCGTCTGGATTTCACGTGGATTAATGCAAGTTTTCGCTTGTGTAGGAGGCTATTTACCGACAGATTTGAACAGACTCTTCGAATTAAGTCGCGCTTCTCTGTCAGCGAGACGACCGGGGTCCGATTCTTGTCGCATGTCACCGCGGGTTTCTACAAACGACGTACCTGTCAATTTCACACGTCGATTTCGTCTGAAGCATTTGCCCGGAAATTGGCTTACTCATCTTGTTTTCGTCTTGTAGATTTCATGGGAGCCCATCCTTGTGGTGTGCATTACCGAAGTTCCCAACTGTTGACTTTTCCTAAACCTCCCGTTTGAATTTCCATAGCTTGATTCAGGCCGTGTAGGAATAACACAGTAATCCCAGTCTCGCAGCTATGTATACAAATAAAGATGCCTCCTCTGTATTAACCCAAGTGCCGTGTTTATTCTCTTCTAAACATCCAAGAGTCGTTTTCAACCCCGGAGCCTGACCTCTTAGTTCCTGTCTTCCTAGTTTAGAAAGAAAATAAAACGCCAATCTGGCGGCTTTCTTTTGACTTTGTTTCCCAATTGCATTCTGGTCGGGGCATGTTTCTCTTAAGGGGACCACCAAGCTAGTCATTTTTCTCTGCCTTGCTTATTATTGATGAGGAAATGAAACTGGATAGCTTCTCACAAGGATTACGGCTTGATCCCGATGTGCTCTGATCGGGAGAAAGGCTAGTGGTGGGGAGGGGACCATGTGGAACACATTGTGAAGACCAGGAGATGTAATCGAACAAGTCTCCCCCAGCTGTCGCTTCCACACAGATATCTTCTCCCGCGCCCTAATAGTACCAAGCTTCTTAATTTTGACAGGACCCAGGGTTCAAGCCCCCTCCCCTCTCCGGAAGTCAACTAACGAGACATATCAGCTTAATTGAAGGAGGTCTTAAGCTAGTAATTGGTGTACCTGTAAAGCCGGGGACGGGGGGATGTGCTGTATAGGATTCGTTTCAAGTTTCCGAGCTCCTGCGTGTGTGTGTGTTTTCTAAACCGCCGGCCTGGTTTCCACCACAAACTCGGGGAAATGCGATTTCGTCCGGAGGAGAATAGGCGAATAGAACTCGACCCTTTCACGAGCGCAAATCTAATCTTTCAAACCCTAACGTGATTTTCTGTCGGGAAAATTGGAGGATGTAATTCAATTGTCCGCTGTGCTTATGTTGTGAGATATTTGGTTAGATACGGAACAAACTCCCGCTCCTCCCAATCAATTTCAACCCAGGCTAATTACCGCGATGACTCTGCCACTGGGAATCCTAGAAAATAACCATACGCATTTATGAGGGGCTGTTATATAATAATGGTGGACTCAAACCGACCACATACCGAGACTCATCTTGCTTATTTTAAATTCTAACAATCATTTACAAGTTACTGATTTCTAAACTAGCTAACTGATTTATATAAACTAACAGGACGATTTGTGCGACGTACAAATAAAACAATAGCAACAACAAACAAGTTAACAGAAAGTACTTGTGTGTGGGGAGTGTTGAAAACATTTAATTCATCCTTTGAGGAAATCAGCATAACACAATCAAATCGCCCCCCAATTACTAGTATTTAAGATTCTCCAGCCGATTTCATTCTTGGGCAAATACAGTGGTTTTATCGGTATTATTGAGTGGGTGTGAAGCTTTTTTCCTCTGGTCTATTTGCTTTAGCCTTTGTTAGAGTTGTTTGCGGCCCCGCCCGTTGGAGCCGGTAAGGGCCTGGGTGTGTATTGGAGGGAGATGTGTATTACCATGTGTATTGACCGTAGCCTCCTGTGCAGGCCTCCGGGCGGGTGAGAGTTCTGATACTGCGTTTTGTAGAATGTGTATTTTTAACGCGTTCTTTTGCCGGCAAATCCTACAACCAGCCGCCCAGACAAGGTTTGCACCCGCCACGGAGGCCTGCACATGAGGCTAATGTATTGACCGTACCCGGTACGAGTTCTCCAAAGTCAAAACCGTACATCCTGATTCCGTAGATTCCTCGCCACTTTTTCCGTGCGTTTCCACGCTAATTTGCCCTTGTCTGGCGTAGGTGATGTAATAGGAAGAACCGTGTTAGAGGTAATAAGACAGTTATTTCTGACTTACGAGGTCCGTCTGGCCCCAGGATTTCCCACACCAGCCGCTGTCTTTTGTTATGACTAAAATGATTGACATTACGAGCCCCCGGGCCAGCCATCTCTTATGGATCCCGTCCGGTAGAAACGTGGCAGATAAGGAAATCATGGTTTGTTAAGTAGGGTTAGGTCAGTATTGTTGAGTTAAGTAAGCCCAGTGGCCATCCACACAGGTGTTATTACAGTTCTCACAACATAACCCAAAATATCCACGCGTCCTTTTTCTCTCAAACCTCTTTATAAAGATGAGAAAAATCTTCAATTTTCCGACGGAAACCATGAGATAAGAAACCGTAGACATGGAAATGATTTCGGCGCGAAGAATCCTTGGCGCATCAGACAGGCCAGTTTGTGTATTGATGGGGAAATGATAAAGCCTGGAGATAATATTCACCACGGGGGACTCATTGTACGCCCCTCCTCACTCGTTTCGTTTTAATATAATGTTAATCAGTGTTCTTACAAAGTGTTTATCCCTGCCATACTTGAAGGTGTGTAGTCTATTCAGACAGGGTTTAAGTCCTGTGGAGTTGTTGTGTATTACGTGTGGGGGGAGGGGAGGGTTTTTCCCGAGCACAAGTGTTTTCCTTGTTTGTTGCACCTGCCGAGTAAAGAGAAAAACTGACAGGTGTCGGTACTTGAGACTTCGCGGTTTAAAAAAATCAGCACGACGAGAAAGAATAAACCAACGGTAAAAGTTTGGCGTGTGGTGTGTGCGGGTGAACCTAGGCGGCGCGGCAGTGCGGGAGTGGCGCAGCCTGCCGGTGCAGTTCCGACGCCATGGTGGCGTGACCAGACCGTGCGCCGACCGGCCCGCGCCAGTTCTGACTAACTCCGCAAATCTGCAGACGACATTTTGAACATACCGCAGGTGTGTTCCCGAACCCGATGTAAACAGTCTTGTTTATGTTCTCTCGCTGTCGACAATTTTGTTGGGGGTTCGACTTGCGTTCTCAGAGCAATTAGAGCGTCAAAATAGTAGTTTTGCGTCGCTGTCCGTCCAGTCATTCCGGTCGGAGAGAGGGAAATCAAATTAGGAAGAGATTTGGGGACGCGCGGTGATTGGTTCATGGCGGCGCGCGCGGGGCACCCTGGGATGGGAAGGTTGGTGTCGTGACGTCATCACCATACATGCTCAAATAGACAGGGGACTTGCACATCCCGCGCATAGATCTCGGGCTAAGCGACCATAAGCCGATTACAAACATATCTAAGGAGGACATCGTGCAGTGCGAGTATGTCGTTCCCGTCGCTTCGTCGTTTTTGATTTATCGCTCGTCGACAGATCGGCCACTCCGCAGCTCGTGTCGGACGCCGTACGAGGACCTGGCATTCCTGAAATCGCTGCACAGTGCACCGTTCCCATCGTTAACAGAGCTAAAAACTTAATCCATAATAATTGATGAATGGACACCTTGAACGACTCGCTGAGCTTAGAGCAGCTTGTGAGCGTAAGCCCACGGAGAAGCCAACTGACTATGGCCGGGATTCCACCGATCAACAACAGTGGCACAAGTACGGGCAGCGCATTGGACAGCACGGCGGTATCGGGAGCTCACACCAGCCTGGCCGGGACAGATAGCAGCATGGACTCCACACACGGCTCCGGAGGTACAGACCCACTCCCCACTACTGTACTACTACTACTACTACTACTCCACGCGCCGTGCGACGGTGCCCGAGCTCTGTAATTTGTGTGGCTTGTGCGATGTTGGGTCTGCTCGGTCTGCTCGCGAGCATGTAGAGCGTGGCCCCGACCACGAGTAAGGTGCCGCCGAGTGCCGGCGAGCTAACCTGCGCTCCCGTGCTGTGGGGGTGTGTAGTAGTTGTTAGGCAAAAATCCGCCGTGCCGGTACCGAGAGAGTCCCCTAACCCCGCTCCAAATTACCCGTGTCGATCCTTTCAATCATGGGAATTTTCACGGTAGTTGTTTTTGTTGTGCCAACAGTTATACTTTGTCTGCAGTTTTGTTTTTAATGAAGAAGTGTACAGATCACAAGTTTGATGAGCGATACAGGAAAAAAGGTCCAATGCCTTTGCGGTAACTGTGCGCTGCGCCAGCGTGCTTTACGTGGATGTGTATTCCGAAAATGGACCAGCTTGTCGGCGCGGGTGTGCGACAGGGCCCTGCGCTCGGGCCTGAAGTGCCGGGGAGGTGTAGGAAATGTTCGTACCTGTCCGTTAGGCTAGCTTTGTGTATCACCACCAAACAAATCACGACTTCCATTGGCAGAAAGCCCACCGGTCTCCCGCATTATCTTGCCTAAAATGACTTCTTGATCCTTTTTCAACAAACTACAAGTTTGCAGTGGTCCCTGTTTATATTTATTCTTCCCACTTTCGTTATGTCATATTTATGTTTCCGGATGTGCACTTGCCATGCCCGCGCGCTATTCTAACCCAAAACCCATCTTTTCTCCCTAATTATGACTTTGTTTGACGTTGTTGAAGAGAGAACACAGGGCGAGCCCTGCTCGGACATTGTGTTGCAAATGTGTGGGGTCAGGTCCCGCCGTAAGGAGTAGATGTGACTCGGCCATGTGAAGTGGCACCCTGGGCTGGTGTACGACGGGGAGCGTGTGTCGGAATGTTAGCTCAGTTCTGTTCTGTTCGCCATGCCCTGCTCACCGCCGTCTCCCTCTCTCTCCCCTGCAGCGGCCACGGTGTCGGCAGGCTCGCCGGTCGGCAAGGACTCCGGCAGCGGCTCCACGCCGTCCACACAGGACGTCACGCAGGACGACGACGAGATGCGGAAGCGACGGCGGCAGCGTCGGCAGAGGACGCACTTCACGTCTCAGCAGCTCCAGGAGCTCGAGGCCTCCTTCGCGCGGAATCGCTACCCCGACATGGCGACCCGGGAAGAGATCGCCGCCTGGACCAACCTCACAGAGGCCAGAGTTAGGGTGAGTCTTCATTCTCGTACTAATTTACAGTAGGACAAGAGTTAGCTGTCTTACTTGAAGACGTGTGGCTGTCTCGTCACTTGTTCGGGGCCCTACTCGTCAATCTAGATCAACCAGCCAGCTCTGTAGTCAGAGATTTTCCTCACATCGCCGATAGACCGCAGACGAGCCAGGAAGATTGATATCATATTTGGGGAAATCACAGAAAATTGAGAGCCCTGACTCGGTTAGCCTTGTTAATTTTTGACCCCAGCACGAATTATTCAATTGCCCTAACTCGCCTTCCATTCATAAATATCAGTGATCGGACCTCTTCCCAATTGTTGCTTAATGTTTTCATTAGACGGGGGATTTAAAACAATTTTTACAGTCGCTTCACGGTTGAGTTGCAAATTATGTCGGAAAAAATGAGAGGCGAAGTTGTCCTGGACTACCTGTGCATGTACTGAGGAAACTGTTAGTGCCAGCGCGTGCAGGTCTCTCACGCCGGGCTAGTTTACCGTCTCAGGTCCCGGACCCCGCGGTTTGTACCCCAGGCACCCCGCCGATGTGCTAAGGCCAAACATTTGTCGAATTTGTTTTACTTTAGTTCTACTCGCCATAGAGATGTAACAACTTCAATAGGCAGCAGCTCGTAAACCACGCCACATAATCATTAGCGGCTGGAAAGTTTAGCCCGAATATAAAGGCGGAGGTTTTCACTCGGGTGGATTTTGTGTTTTGACGAGGGTGTACTCCTGTCCTTTTGTCACCCCACGGAGTCATAAATATTGCTCGTGGTCGTAATACAGAGTTTGTCTCCCCGGCCTCAGAAGTATTTATCTCGCCATATTGCTAATGAGATTTTCTGAACAATTGTGTTATGAACCCGGGAATAATAGAGCCCATCAATCGTGTGTGTGAGCGGAGGGCCGGCGGAGGACAGCCCACGTCGTCTGTACCGTAGCGCCGGGCCGCACAACCCCGGTTAGGCGATCGGAATTCCCCACTTCAAAGCAGAGATTATCCCGTAAATTTTACTGTAGTCTTGATCACGGGGGTAATATACGGCGTCTGATAAAAGTAGAGTGGTTTGCTTTTGACATGGTAGTTAGCTTTATTACGTATTCAGCGTGCGTACATGTCCGGAGAACTTGCCGGGGGTGTGGCATGTAGGAGATCGACGGGGGAAAGCGCTCGGTTGTGTGATTAAGATTGTTTCATAAAAACAGATCAAAGTAATTTTTGTCAACTGTTAAAACAAAGCCTTACGGGTGGTTTGGCTGAATATCTGTGGTTTTGTTGTCTGTGTCTGTGTCGGACCGTACGGCGGTATCAGTAGCCGGGAGCTGATCCCTCCAAATCCCTTTCTGCGCCTGGTCTTGAGAACAGGCTACCGTCAACAAATGTGTCAAATTCAGACAAATTTTGATGAATGACAATTGGAAGAAGTCCTGGCAGCGCCCTGGGGCTGGAGTACTCTTGCCACCGAGATGGTGGGATTGTTTGGAGAGCTTTTCGTGGTGTTTATGTTGACTTACGTGCTTTTTTCTGTCTCTCTGATTGTTGTCAGGTCTGGTTCAAGAACCGGCGAGCCAAGTGGCGGAAGCGCGAGCGGAATCAGCTGGGGGAATTCAAGAACGGCTTCGGTCCTCACTTCAACGGGTTGATGCAACCGTTCGACGACGGACTGTACTCCGGCTACTCGCCGGCTTACAACAATTGGGCGGCGAAGGTGCCGAGCCCGCTCACCGCCAAGTCGTTCCCGTGGGGACTCAACTCCAGCGGCGTGCCCAACGTCAACCCGCTGTCGTCTCAGGCCATGTGCTTCACCCCGCCGACCACCATCGGCACCGCCACCACCATGGTGCCGAGCATGAACGTCGGCAACGGCTTGAATTCCCTGAGCAGCCTGCAGAACCCGACTGTGGCGCCGTGTCCGTACGCCTCCCCCGGGCAGCCTTACGCCTACCGTGAGCAGTGCAATTCCAGTATCGCAGCCCTGCGACTGAAGGCCAAGCAACACTCCACGTCGGTCGCGTCCAGCTTCTCCTACCCAAGCCCCGTCCGTCAACAAACCCTCTCCGCCTGCCAGTACGCCGTCGACCGGCCTGTCTGACTGTCCTTCCCGACCCCCTACACCAACCGTTCGTAGGACATTTTCCCGCAGACTGAAAAGACTCTGCACACATTCTCCTCTATCTACAAACTCTGAGACTATACCGCTGAATCGACCCGATTTTTCGTGGAGAAATCATGTAAATATCAGAGAAAAATCAAAGAGAATGGACTCTTTATTTAAACGTTGGCGTATGGGATTTGTTTGCTAAAGAAATGAATTAAAGACAAATTATCTTTATGTTAGAAGAAATTAATAGTTCAGTAGATACACTCCTTGTTTCACGCACTTAAAGGTTTTAAGAAACTGTTCTTGTTTTTTTTCCTTCACGGAAAAAAAAAGAATTCCTAAAGTGTATTCAGCTGTTCAGAGTTCGTCGATTCCAGTATTCAACATTTTATCGATGTTTTATATCGAAAATAGAGTATAACACATAACAGATGTAGGTTGTTCTTAGATTTTATATATTTTATCACACGTATTGTAAGAGATCATTCTATTTATGTGGTGTCAGCTGTCGATATTTAAAGCACAACAATCCACGCTTTCGCTGCGTAGTTGAGAAAAGCTGTATGTTCTGTAGATGTTGTTGTTATTTTTCTTTCCTTGTCGTTCTATGCTTATTGATTCCAGAGTGCATCCAATCGTCGCTTGTATATCTTCTATTGTGCCTACAGAAAGTAAAACTCCTTGTGTATAGATGTTCCGTATTTGTTTCGCAGAGAGACATCCTCACTCAATGGACGAAGAGAATCTCTGTACATTAAAAGAGGGTTTAAAATCTATCTTACTTGTCCAGTTGTTATGCTCTGTTTCCTTAGTGCTTGTGTGTGAGAGAGAGTGTGCCCCATGAGTTAGTATTATGTCCAACGTAATAACCTTTCCCATACAGGTTAGCTATTAACATCTGTCAGACGGTAGGAGTTGTCATAATTTCTAGGAAAATTTCATCTGTCCGCCAACTGGGCTAATCCTCTGTCGGAGCTGTAGGGTATGTATGTATGTATGGAGTATGTTACATCTCCGCATATGCCAACAGAGCAAAACGCCAGCTAGTCAGACAAATATGCGAGATTTGTCCCCTCTCTTGGTCCGAGACGGACACGGTAGGCACCCAGTAGCCCCCCTGCTGTATGTATGTACGAATATATGTATGTATGTATGCATGTATGTGTGTGTGTATGTATGTATGATAGCATCAACCGTAACAAGCCAACCAGGTCACAAACAACATTGGCAGACCCCCCCCCCCATGTGAAGAGTAGAAGCGATCAGAATTGAAAATGACGCCCCCAACAGTGTGCCAAAGTCACTGACAGTACTCACACTCTACAGTACACATACTACAGTGACAGGGCGGTGCATGCATGAAGTAGGTACATGTCTAAAGTGGTCTTTAAAAAGTCGTTAATTTTTTGACGGATTAGGCAGACTTTTGACTGTACCCACACATACACCACATGAGTTTGGGTAAGTAGGCAGGGACCGAGTTTAGGTGAGAAAAGTTTAGGTTTGTTAGAGAAATCTTAGACGTTTAGATGAACGGTTCTCCCCAAGTCAAGATGGCCGAAAGATTTCCCTCCCCTCCCCAGGTACTGCTATCCGACCCTTCCCCTCCTAGCCCCGTACTTGTACTCCGTTGTTCGCCACTCCATTCACTGCCAACTGATTGTTTCGTTAGAAGAGGCGAACCCCTGCCTCCATAATTATACACTAATCCTTACAACCAGTTTCGAAGTGATCTCTTGTTGTTTTCTCGTCATACTATCATGACAAATGACCGTAGGGTTAAGCCCGGAACAACACAGGCTCACACACAAGCATGCGAGGAACAGTAACTTTGGGGATGGGTGACTTGCCAATTTTCAACAATCCGTGGCGAAAAACCAAGCCTGTGCTGATCCCGAGTCGTGCCGACTAGGCACCTGTTAGATCCGGGAGGAGGAAAGAAATATCGGAAACGACAACTGTTTGTGGATATACTTGGGTTTTGAGGGCAAACAAAAACGTACATAGAACGTCTTGCCGCAAACTCGGATTGGATAGCCTCGTCTATTCTGTGGCTGAAACTACGCTACAATAATTACTCGGTATTGTTTGCCGACTCGAACGTTATCTAAATAGTAGGGCGGCCGCAGTGGCTCCGAATTCCGTCCGGATTGTTGTGTAAAGAGCCTCGTCGGATTTTTATCTCTGTGTTCAGACATCGGCAACAAGGTTTACAAGTCGTGTCGGGGGGCTGACCTCTCGGCCTGCAGTGATTGAAAAGATCGCCCCCTTCTTCTATTCAACACCGGCGGCAAGGGTCGCCTCGCCTGGAGAAACAGCGCGCGTGTGGGGCCATGGGCAAGGACACGGGCCTGCCGCCACCACCGTGCAATCCCCGCCACTTGGAAGTACCGTTGAGGTGGAAATGTTGCGTCTGAAGGGCGCCAATTTCCCCACTCGTGCGCGTGGGGCCTGTCTACAGAACAACATGATTTACGACACGGGGACTATTGAAGACTATTTACAGTTAATCCTCAATACACATATCCAGATACTGGACGTGTGAAAGAATAACACAACAATTAGTGAAATGAGAGATGGACTAGAAGCCGTCATTCACCTTTTTTTATAGAAAATTCCCTGCCACCTGACATTTTGTAAACTTTTCCGAAAGGGCATAACGTCGGTGACCCCCGCTCTAAGTACCAACCCACCAAGTCGACTTGGGTTTCCGACCACCCCTCTTTTGACCTTCAGGGTAACCTGTTACACGTCTGCGTGAAAATTTCATATCCGGGGCCGTTCTCTTGAATTTCTTACCCTTACGTACAAATTGAACGGTTTTAGCAATTCGGTAAACAAAGTCAGACATTTCTGAGGAAAATCAGACGACTTTTTTTTTCTCTGACCGGAGGGCCGCCATATTGTCGGGGTCAGAAAGTTTGTTTTCCTCGGTAACCTCTCCACTTTAGAAAGGGAGGGAGCCGTGTTTACCCCTTGAGAACCACCCCTGTCTGGCGGGAGCCCGTCTCAAATCCCCCAATACACATCCACAGCCAGCTACTTTATCAGGCAGACAATTGGTTGGGCCGTGGGTAAATGATATTGTGTGGTACCCCTCTCGTGTCTACACAGAGCTTATCTCATATGCAAATCAAGAAGCGAGGGGCAAAACAATCGCTAAATATCACGTCACACACAAAAATGGGAGAGAAAAAATAAGTTTACTATTACAAGGGTTCTGGGGATTAATTCTTCCCAGTTATTGTTTTGGTACGTAAATACCCTGTATACGAAACTGAATAAACATCGCATCCTCCCTAAGCCCTTGGCAGATGTCGAATCAACAGAAGCTGATTTTTTTTACAAGTTGGTAAATTGTTTTGATAAATTATTCAATACCAAAATCAGAAAAGCGGAAGTAAAATCATATTTTACGTAGCGGAGAAAATTAGTCGAGGTGGGCAACGCCCACAGTTGTGTCGTCGTCCGGTCGGCCAAGTTCGATTCTTTCTGGCTAATTAAAGACGACAATAAGATTATACCATTAGATAGCATATCATTGAGGACGGCGCCATTTTGTTTCCGTGACCCGTCCTGGAGCGTATGCTTTGTACACAGCCCTGAGCTAGCCGCCAACAGAAGGGGACCGGGGAGGCCAACAAACGCCCAAAACAACCGTCTACACCACCAGGTACGTACCCAACACCGCCATCATACAAATCAAACCTTTTAACTCTCTCAAATCTGCAAAGACGGCGGGATTTTCCCGCCTTTTGAACTAGAGGCGAGGGGGGAACAGATTCTTACGGCTTTAATTCCGCCAAATTGGTTTCTATTAGCCCTCCCATCTCTAAATGTCTCGCACTATCATGGAGACCATTAAGCACGATTTGCTCCTGATTATGTGGTACAAATGTCTGATTCCTGGGGTAGGGTAGCCGCCATTTCTGTGCCGAATGTTTCATGTTTTGAGCGGGCACGATGGTATGTTCAGACTCACCCGATCATTATTATTGTCCTATACACAACTGCTGATTATCATTATTACGTCACAACATCATGTCCCGAATTTTCCTATTTCTATCTTTTAAGATCTAGATTTTTTTGTCCGAAATACGGTTTAGTTTCCAAAACACATTATTATCATTTTTTTTGGAAAGGAGAACAGAATTTCCCTCCCTATTTCTGGTGATAATTGTATGTGTTAAAAAGAAGGTGTCAATATTTCATGTGTTCACTTTTCACGATAATGGGTTCCGAAATCCCTTCAAAAACGGTTTAAATCCGGGTCTAAACCCCACCATTCCAGTCAACAATCCCTATCTAATACAAGCGTTAAATAAAACATGTAGTCTTTTAATGCTAGCCTATGTCTATAACTGAGTTTTCTGGTACAAATAAACGATTGGCTAAAACCCTTTGCAGTTTATGTATGTGCGGAGTAAAGATGTGTATTGGTGGGTACAAACTGTTCATGTATGTTACTGTAAATGTGATCAAAATCATGCGACGGTTTGGTCACACACACACACTTTCTCTCTAGAAATCGAAAATTAAATAGATGGATTTATCAGAATTCAGGAAGGTTGGCGGTTACAAACTACAGTGGGCGCTTGTAGTATTTACAGGATCATAGGTAGATTTAAGACTTGCGTCTGGGCCGTTTTGTGGGTAAGTCCGTTTGCCCCCCACCCTGGCCTGTTCTATCCCCATGCCTATTGAAATGGTTAGGAGTTAAGACAAGTTTGTAGGCGAAGATTTGCCACAAATTCTCCGGGAACTGGCGGTTTAAAGCGGGGATGTAGGGAAGAGAATTGGTGAGCTTACAGAACTCAGGGTGATTTATTGTGAACGCTCAGCACGGGATAGTTCCAGAGACCGGCATTTTATTATCGTCCTTAACTTCTTCTGTGGGAACGATTTAAGGAGTAAATTGGGCTTAGCTGTACATCCTAAGACAAGCCCTAGTCTGGCCTGCGACTTACAGACTTTTTTCCAGGCCCACGGACGGCAGTTCATTTGAAAAAGGTAATGTTCTTTAGTACCATGTTGTTGTCATGTTATATTTGTTGTATGGCTTCAACGGGCGAGCATAAAACAATTTTCTCATCGAGTTTCCCATCACAAACTGAGTCTACATTAGTCATGCACCTACAGAAAACATGTCTAGGCCAGGACAGAAGGTTTTCAAGTCACTACAATGTTGTTGAGACGTAACAGACAAAGTACAAGCAATTGAACGTATAATAGGTTGGTGTTCTCGGCCAATAACGGCCATTTTTATATATCTACACCCCTGCCCGACTGGACACACTAACCAGAACCCTTCTGTCTTCCTTTCTGTCCACACTTCCACCGTAGATCCTACACCAGATGCCCACCAATTGGTCATGGGAAAACGTAAGACTATTCTATTTCTTGAAACGAGAGACGAAAGATGAGAAAAAGTTTTTCTAGGTTTGTTGGTTTGAAGTGTTTGATTTTGAAGTGAAGTGCCCGCACCATGGCGAGTCTGGTAGATAAGGTTGTCTCCAGTTTGGTACTCATCCGGCGAGAGGCCCCCAGTTCGCCTGTTGTTCTTCCGTTTTTGTCTCTCAATTTGCACCCAGTTTCCAGCACCAGTTAGCCAGCTAATTTTCCTAGCAGGGGGAATACACATCCACAGGTAAGGCCGCTTGATCATATGTATTTATGCGTCTGGCGGGGTTCTGACTAAAACCGGCTCGTTTCCACGGGTGTGCGACGGGTGTCCAAACACAGACAGCCGGCCCGCAAAACGTAATACACATCCCGTACCGTCTACCCCCCATTCATGTTATAATGTCCCCCAGAATGGTAGACAAACGATTATCATGATTATTCGTCGACCGTTGAATTCGCTTTATTACGGCAGAGACCGGGGCTGAGTAAACACGGGTTTTACTATAACAGCCGCCGCCATACAGTTGTGCGGCACCGTACCGACTTGTTGTGACTAGTACAGTTTTGAGTGTGAAAACTTCTTATTGTTTTCGCACGAATCCTCTTGATATGACTTCTGTGTTTGTGTGGATGTTGTTCTGAGTGCCGAGATGTCCCAGACCCCGTGGCGTGTGGATATGTCGGTCGGCAGCCAGTCTACCTGTATACAAAAGTAAGTAAGATTTATAGGGTTCGACATCGAGTTGTTGAATTCATTTCTGTTAATCCAGTCAAAGCCTGGCCATTCTGGGAACATGTCCTGTGTCTTCCTGACCACTTTTCGGCCGTTCCGTGTGTCCAGTGGTGGGAAAGACGGGACAGAAACCGTAGAATAACCGTCAATTTTTGTAGGAGAGGGTTTGGGGAATATGTGAGGATATACCGTTTGTAGGAGAAAACAACGGCCGCCATTTTGGAAATCAAGAAATAAGGTTAGTAGGTGTCAAATCAACATTTATTGAAATATTCCCTACCTATTTCTTCCCCAATGCGAGCATTTTACATTGTCTATATTCCACTTAACCCATATTTACAGAAATTAGCCCTTTAGATAGCCTATATGAGTAAAAATAGTACTAGAGACTTTTGTAGTTTTGATCGTGTGCAAATATGAGGTTTCCTCCGTGAACAGATTTTAAAATTTTCAAAAATCACTCAAAATCCTAAAACTCTTCTTCTAACAAACTACCAACTTGACTTATCATCAATATATATATTCAGGGTATTGTGAACTTAATTTTGAGTAAGATTTTGTAAAGTTTTGTTCGCAATTTTAAGCACAAATTGCAGTTTTTTAGTCCACTAGAACTAGTCGAACACAATACGGCTGTTGCGAAAGTCGAGGTCAGCTGGCGCTGAAATGACACGAATTCCAAACATCCCTGACCGCTTGACCCACGTTTTGACTTTCAGAACCCTGTGAATCTATTATCACGACCGTGCTGTGACGTTTGGGTGTGAAAAACTCCTCCATTGTCAGGAAATGTTGACTAAATATCGCGTATCCCTATTTTCAGCCGCAGTCATAGAAATAGGACGAACTAAAACCTGTACTCGAATATTCGCATTTCACTAAAAGTAACTCCACTTCTCCTGAATCAGAACGCACAAAAACCGACCCAAGACCTAACCCCGTTATTTATAAGTTTGTTGACAAAGTAGCTGTAGGATGTGGGGAATTTTTATCTGATTATTGTGAAAATTAGCGGCCAGACCATGCCGTATGTCGGTGTGTATTGGCCGGCGAATACCGCGCAAACCCCGCCAGTGCCGTGGCCGCTTCTATTTGCCTAACTTTGTGCCCTTTCCTTGTACAGTTTTCACAACAAATCTAACTCTTTGTACTGGCTGTTTTTCAGACGACACGTTTTTTTGTAAAATAAGGTTGATTTTAGCGCGGGTTTTACAAAGAAGCGGGGTAGTTCATTTGGCTGATTTGAGTGGATTGTTATTCAAAACCCGCATGTGTATTGGGTGTGTATTGGCGTGGACGGCGGTACGACCAGATGTGTATTGCCTCATTTTACCCTTTCCTGTCTGAGATAAGATACCGAAGTCTCCCCTGACTAGTCATACATACACTTCTCTTCAGCTTCTCATGTGGTTTAGTATAGCTTCCTGTATGCCCTCACAATGAATGCTTTAGAAGTGCCGTCGTTTCTGCCCTTTTTGGTTTACCAGTCTAGTTTTTCGCCACTCTGACCTCCGAACTATCTTGTATTTCAGACAAGTTCTGTAGCATTTAGGGGGAATATTTTCAGCCGAAAGACAGAAAGTATCAAGTGAAGTGAACTTGTATTTCGTTTGAGACCTTGTTGTGTTTTATTCGCTAAGTTTCTTGTGGTTGGTGGCGGTAGTTTTGGGTATGCATGTGTTCTCATTACTCAGATACAGATCCTACACACATTTGTTATGGTGCATTTTAGCCTGCATTTTTTCGTCCTTAAAATGTCAATGAAATTATGGCTTACACATCATAAACGGCCTATCATACCATGATACTAGGGGTACCTCAATTTTCTCATATCAGTCTTTCCACACCAACGAACTAATGACTCTGATTTCGTTGGTTCCATGTAGCGTGTAGGAATGTTCACTTTGATACCTCTGTAATGTGTACCCTCTTTTTCCACCCAGTTGAATAATTCCTATATCTAACGACAACAGACGAGCACAAATGACAAGTAAGACACAATTATCACCGCAGGAAGCTTCTAGTTTGACCCTGACGCTGTGTTTTACACGAACGTATTCCAATACAGTGATTTTGAACAAGGTGACGCTAAACCTACAGTATTTGTTTACGTTCGTGTGAAGCAGGCATTTCTGGCGCGATAAGGCCGAGAGAGGTACACATACTAGCTATTGTTGGCATGTTTTTGGCTAGATTTTAATAATCGGGGATGTCTAGGAGACGGAAAGGTCATAAGGAAACGTTTACGGTGTAATATTTCGGCGTGTTTCATCCCATTTCGCCCTGTCAGTTCCCGATATGTCACGCGTTCTGTGGGTCGGAACAAAAATGGCGGCCGGGCGCAACCGACATGAAAAAACCTTACTCAATCGCCTGAAACAAATTAAAGCTCAGCTGAGAATATTTTCACGCTTTTAGCTTATAGGGTCAAAGAACGTGTATCTTAGAAGGCATAGAGTCTATGTTCACGATCGAATACCTGTTGTACTGTTCTGAAAACTAGCATGAAATGTTGACTATTTTCCCCCTGGTTTAGC